GAGAACGGGCCCGGGCCCCCTGGGTGGATGGGGCCCGGGCCCCCTGGGTGGATGGGGCCCGGGCCCCGGGTGGATGGGCGCGGGCCCCGGGAGAACGGGCCCGGGCCCCCTGGGTGGATGGGGCCCGGGCCCCGGGTGGATGGGGCCCGGGCCCCGGGAGAACGGGCCCGGGCCCCCAGGAGAACGGGCCCGGGCCCCCAGGAGAACGGGCCCGGGCCCCCTGTGTGGATGGGGTCCGGGCCCTGGGAGAACGGGCCCCGAGCCCTGGGTGGACGGGGCCCGGATCCCCGGGTGGATGGGGCCCGGGCCCTTGGGAGAACGGGCCCTGGCCCCCCGGGTGGATGGAGCCCGGGCCCCCGGGTGGATGGGACTCGGGCCCCCTGGTTGACGGGCCCGGAGCCCCGGGTGGATGGGGGCCGGAGCCCAGGTGGACGTGGCCCGGGCCCCCGTGTGGATAGGGCCCGGGCCCCCGTGTGGATAGGGCCCGGGCCCCCGTGTGGATAGGGCCCGGGCCCTCGGGTGAATGGGGCCCCCGGCCCTAGGGCGACCCGCTTGCTCCGCAACGCGAATAAGGGGTATTTTCCATCGGTGGGCGTTTGGTTGGTCTTGTGTCCGTGGGTTATGTATCCATTTCGGTCGATTGCCTTTTGACGGCTAAGTATTTTGGTTTTGGGAAAAAATATCCATCGCATCGAGGTGCTCGTGTCTGGTAACCATACGTTCTACTATAGAACATGTCAAGTATATTTTATAACATAGGTTGACGTAGGCTTCCTATTGAAAAATGGAGGCCATCGATGAATTACTATGTAAAGGTTTGAAACGTTTATATTTTTAAGAATATTGTAGCTCTTCATGCAAAAGCGATGAATGGATCTTGGACAACATTGAATGCTCTTTTCAACTATGCCATTTTCAATTGTCAAACGTACCAGTTTATGCAGCAAAACCCGTGTAATTAAGTAGGTAAGTCATGAACAAATGTCATTTTCTTCAGCGATTTGTTCCACCTTGTTTTTGATCAATTAGCTTTTCACAATTTTTCCATGAGAGGCGGTACGTTTTTCTTGACAACAGGCGTTGTTTGAACCCGCGCTCCGTCTGACAGTCACCCGAAAATAGCATTAAGTCCAAAATCAGTCCAAAAGTCAATTTTTCAAGCATAAGTGCCCTTACGGGTGCACGTGGCACGTGCCATCCCTGCACCGCACACCATTCGATAGCCCTTCGATTATCATATACGATACTGTGCTCCCCGTGCCGATCGGACCCACGGTTACCGAGATACTGCACGGGGACCGGACCCGTGTCGGGCAAATTTAGCTATTTTCGCCCGATTTTGCGAGCCGATTTATACATGTAAAGTCTATGACGCAAATGTACACTTTTTGAGCACGCGCCATGTCCTCACCACCGGCCCGATTGAGCTGAGACCCCTCACAGGCACGTTGCCCATCCTTGTTCCATCGGTTGCGCAAAGTTCAGCGCACTGGGTGCAACGGTCCCTCTAGCCTATACCTACCCCGCGCTAAGTAACACCATGCCGGGACCACGGTAACATACATAATCTACGTCACCACATCATCACACCACAACAAACCCGGCCCAAGGCAATACATGTCTCGTGAGCGCGTTAACCCTCGCCGGCACAGGCCATTTTGCGTCCTTCGACGGCACAATTACGACCCCCTCGCGTTTGGCCCATGATCGAGCTAGAACTTTGAGGAAAAAACGAGCGTGCTGCCCGTGACAAGAGGAAGCCGATGATTCCCAATTTAAAGGTCCTAGGTCATTGGTTGACCTTCCAGGTCAGGTCAATGACCCCCAAAAGTCGGGAAAATCTTGACCTGTTAGAACGTCGTAAAATGTGGCTGCTATAGGGCTTTTCGGGGTGCTGATCACGAACATTATGTAAGTTTTGATCACAGATGATGTCTTTATGCATTTAGGCCAGGTCGGGTCAGGTCAGGTCAGGTCAGGTCAACCAGTAGGGATCGTGACGGGTATTCGTAGTTCATACGTGTCAACCGCCTCTGACAGCTTCGTAACATGATACGAAGGCACCAAAACTACTTAAATGTTCAAATGGTTGCTAAATTCGAATTCAGCTAAACAAAAACTAGCCTAGAAACATGCATAGCTTGAAAAAGTGTACTGGTCATAGGTCAATGACATGACCTGACCTTCAGGTGACATTGATATCCCCCCTATGCATGGGAGCAACATCAAATCACATGTTTGAACTAGAGTTGCAAAATTTCCCCCAAAGGCTGCTACCGGCACCGCCCCGCCCCACAAAAATTTTCTGGGATACCGGCATGCTACCACGACCCAAGCAAAAACACCACCAAATTACCGGCATACTAAAAAAAAACCCTGCAATGTTGATTCTAGCTTACCCCTACAAGAGATGCCACACTTTGGCAATTTCAGTACCCATCCCAGTTCCCACCCAGCAGCCACCCAATGTCCAACCTAACTACGAACAGGATGAATTTGGCTCAGTTGGCCCCACAAATACCCACAATTTTGAAACTCAGTTCCAGTCTATAACTGTTAAAATATCACGTGTAATCAAAGAGGTATTGCCTATAAAAAAGCAGTAAGAAAAAAGCATAAAAAAGCAATGACAAAAATACCTTAAATTACTGAATTGTTTCTGAAGACTGGACAGTTCAAGTTAGCAGTAATCACATTAACATTTCAGAGGTGTTCTACTATTCCACATTCTCCTAAAATGTTGCAGGAACCTACCAACCAAAATCAAATTTTGACATCTAGATGGCCACAACATAAAAAGTACCTACAGATTCGGCCATGTGCCTGAGGAAGCGAGATCATTGATCAACACCTTTTTTCCTTTTCGCCATGGCTTGCTGGCTCATGAATAAGATACGAATCAGTTGAAAAATGTGAAAAACTCACTTGTCCTGAGAACAGTCACCAAATAATATGCATAAAAACGATATAATACCCGCTTTCTCGAAGAATCTTCCTCTCCAAACACAAGGTTATAAACTATCAAAGATTTCGAAACAGATGCGCCATAATAACAGACTTTTAACCAGCTGATTAAATTGCTGCAAAAAAAAGTTTCTTAACTGTAGCAAACTGCCTCATAAATGATTTGTTGATGTAAATGATCCAAAACGATATTGAATTCTGATGTAATCAACATTGTGAGTTTAGTTCACTACAAGAAAATGCATTCCCTTTCAGGAATTAAACCAAAAAGGCATACGAATAAATATTACGTCATCATCTTACATCCTTCCATCAGGGGAGAGAAGATCTAAAAAGTCAATCCTTGGTTCCCCTGTTATTCTGCGCCACTTTGTTTATTTTGTATGATTATTGTGTTTTCTTGTAAAGATGATACAAAATGCCAGTTTATTTGATTTTCATTTCATTTTTGGGACCAAAGTCAGGCTCAGGGCTACCTAATACCTGCCTTTTCAGCAGGATTTTCAGTGTCAAATACTTTGTAGAGTATCTCAGACCAGACCACATCTCAGGACTCAAGGCCAGTTTCCAAACAATGTGTTTTGTGGTGTTTTGATTCTGCCTTTTCCTCTAGGGAACGTTGTCATGAACATTTATTTATTTTGTTGTATTTTACCTATTACATACCATTAGATTTACTGATTGATCGAGCTTTTGCAGCATGAATAAGTATTCTTCCATTTATTGACCACAGTAGATTCTTGACAATCCTAATTATAACGAAACCTGTGAATCGCTGAGCTCCATGTGTTATCCCTACCCTTAGCAATGTAACTTCTACCACAAAATGTATTTTGCAGTGGCTAATATTGCTGTTATTATAATTTGATAACCTCTTAGTGCCCAAAGTTTAAACCATATGCTGATATTTTCTATTTTTGTGCAAAATCAAAAATACCGGCATGCTACCGGCAAGACATGCCAGATACCACGAAAAAACCTGCGGTAGTGAAAATTTACCGGCATGCCGGTAGTGCGGTAGGGAAACTTTGCAACTCTAGTTTGAACGCTTGAAACCACGAAAGAACTGCAAACGCGCCGCTAATGCGAGCCGGCATGCGCCGAACCGCGATTCTGGCCAAACATGGTCTCGGAAAGTAGGCCAACTTTGGCCTACTTTCCGACCTTTAGGTCGGAATTTGACCTTGAATTGACCCTTGAATTGACAAATGACCTTTAGGTCATTTGGGTCAGGGTCATAAAATTTCTAGGGTAGGTGTAAAATTGATCAACGCGAGGATACTGAAAGTTACGTCGCGATCAGCCGCTTTTTACGCAAGTTATTTGCGAAAAAAAAAACTTTAGGAGGGTTACATCAGCCCCTTCCCCCCTGTGCCGCGAGAGTTAAAACTTCTTGTGAGCGAATTCACGCAATGAAGAAGAATAAAGGCACAATCTACTACAGCAGCCAAGGATGACTTGGAACAGGCACATGGGACTAGTTAAATAGGTATTGCCCGACAGAAGCAGGCAACAGTTCCGATTGCAAGGGGCACATTTCGGCCTCGAAAGATACGAATTCTTACGTCATAGTAACATATTTCTGTCGTGGTCAATTTGCGTAAAAATGGAACACCGGGTGATTACCGAGCTATTGTTCTAGCCAAATGTTCTGATTCAAACTCGCTCAGGGTTATCGTGCAGGTAAAGGGGGCCCGCTCAGCAGAATGTGCATGAAATATGGAGAGATTCTGAAAAATGGGTGGGGGGCCCGCACACTAGGGGGCCCGCTTTGGAGGCGATGACCCCCCCGAAATGAAATCCTGGCTGCGCCACTGCTACTTCCCATATCCATCGAACCTTCCACTCATTTTCAATGACAAACTCGTGTTCAGAGAACATTTCAATTTCAATGACCTTCATGCAGCTCTCAACCACCAGCAAATTCACTTCAATTTCGGTCAGCCTTTAATTTTAAATGCCCTGCCTACCTAAGTTGGGCAATACCGTCAAGCTCCCTCCATTTCCCTCATTCCAAAATTCCCCACAGCACGTACCTCGATGCGTCCGACCTTCATTCCGGATCGGGCCAGCGCGCGCAGCGCCGACTGGGCGCCGGGGCCGGGCGTCTTGGTGCGGGTGCCGCCCACGGCGCGGAGCTTGATGTGAAGCGCGGTGATGCCCAGGGTTTTGCACTTCTCGGCGACATCCTGAGGGTGGGAGGGGGTGATTAGTTGTGGTGCATGAGAAAGCAGAAGGGGTGTGGGGTTCTCCGATTCTCATGATAGGAATGGGCATTGTTGTGTCGTAAGATTCGTCCGCTGTTGTGGGATGAACTCAGTAGTGATCAGAGCATACAAAGCCAATGAGTTCATGAAACTCATAGACTGGGCGGAGTTTCACGGAATGTTACTACCATGCTGCCAGCGCATTTAGCGAGCTGACGTCACATATTGTGGTCATGTTGAAGACACAAGTTTGTTGATGTCTCCATGGAAACCAGATTTGATGTGTGCTGGGCTGGGAGCGTGCTTGTAGCGGGCTTGAAACACCACCCTGAATTGGTCATTGGCATATGAAGCAGACTGAAATAATCGACTGTGGTGTAAAAAGGCAAAGGCAAGCCGCAAGGTGGCATGAGGGGGAGGTACAAAACATAAAATTAATACAGTTATGCCATATTTTCTTGCATAAGTGTTCTGAGCATGTCCATAATGGTGTGAATATTTCGTCTACGTAACAATGTGATTTGGCAATTGGCCATCTACATTCAAATATAAAAAATATCAGATATGCTTCAGCTAAAACTTTAAATTAAATGGGTCAGGGCAAGCTAATGCCCCACACCTGATCAGACAATTAACCATTCATTAAAAAAACAGCCCAACTTGAGAGTTGAGTCTTTACTCTTGAGACAACAAATTTACATAATAAAATTCCACCATGGCAGATGTGTTCACACCTGATGCTCCTCAGCAATTCAGAAAACACATTATATGATAACCTTAACAGCAAGATTAACCCACCATACATCAACCTGCTAGCAAGTAGCAGAGCCAGCAATTCATCACCAGAAAAATTCAAATGGCCCATGTATTTTCCCTCATATTCCTACCACCCTTTAGAACCTCCCTTCCCCTTCCACCCCATTCAAGCACTCACCTGGGCGGCCAACATAGCGGCGTAGGGTGAGCTCTCGTCACGGTCGGCCTTCACCTTCATTCCACCAGTGACACGGACGATCGTCTCCCGTCCGGACAGATCAGTCACGTGCACAAAGGTGTCGTTGAACGAGGCGTAGATGTGTGCCACGCCGAACACATTCTCGCCCTCGCGCACCTGCGGGCCGAGCGACACCTGCTCCTGAACCTCCTTAACCTTGCCCTTCTTCGGTGCCATGGTAATGTGTCTGCAAAAACCAGAGCAGGTTAGTTTTGTTAAAAAAGATGTTTATACTTCTGCATCCAACACCATTTAATTACTTATAGACCTACCCTATGTCCCACCAATTTGTTTTGATTGCTAGAGAAAAAACTATGCCCAACTTTGCATGCCTTACAAGACTGTAAACGGTAGCAGGAATCGACAGGTGGGAAGGGAAGTCAATTTTCGATTTCACCTAACATATAACATACAAACTACAGCGGCTAGCAAAAATATTATAAAATGCGGCAAAAACTTAAGCAATTTTACGCAGATAACACGTTTCCAATAGGTGGTAAAGGCACAAAATTGGCATTAAAATAAATGTTATCACTGTAGCACTTATATCTGTCTAGAAATACGCGAACAGTATCACATACAAATCATAAAACCCATAAATCCCGTTCACGCACTTCGCCTACAAGTTTTAGACGGAAAAGGACCGCTGATGCGCGTTGCCAAATATCCAAACAAAAGAACTTTTTAACATTCTTTCTTTTCATGCATTTTATTTCTGAGCAAACAAGCAATTTTATCGAAAAAGCTCCTCAAATATTCCTTTAAATAATCAGTGCCTTTTCCCTTTGATCACTATCAGGAAAAGTACAAATTATCAGAGCAGCAGGTTTTTAAAAATTTTGGACCCAAGCTCAAATTTATAACGTATCTTCTGGTTGCTGCTCATATTCGAATATCCAAGCAAAAGGGAAGCCCGAAAGACGAAAATTGGAACACCTAGAAGGACATGTGATCTCCGGTTTTATGAAAACAGGTGAGGCCTCATCGCATGTCCCAGCCGAGCCCCTGCCATATCTTGGGTTGCGGCGTCATCTATATCACCAGCAAATGACCCCTCATTAGCGCCACCTAGCAGTTCTAAGACCTGTAGTGGCAGATTCTCTGACCTGCTGGCCCTCTGATGGCGAGGAGCGGAAACGTCAGCTAATAATTGCTCGGCTGAAGCTCATTCTTTTTTCAAGCAGTAACCCCCTTGCAGCACCCTGTAAGCACCCAGCACCTTGTAACCCCCAGCAGTGACCCTGACCATTATCTATTACGCCACAGGGTCGTCGGCTTCCCGTTGTTGGTTCTAGACGGCTCAGGAAGGAATCGATCACACAGGCACCTAAAACCACGCAGAGGCTACTGGATCCGAACTTACTGACCGATAAAACAGCGACTTTTGGCAATGTGATGCGCGACCGCCTTTCCTGATCCTTCCATCACCTCTCATGAGAAGCATCATCACGTAGTAGGTATGTACACACAAATACAAACCGTGCGTTCACTGTGCTCTTTTGCCTCAAAGTCAACCAACACTAAGATCAAAGTTTCATTCACAGATGACTGTACGAACTTGGAACACACAATGTATAAACTGAGACTCATGGCTCGCAACGCAAAAATCACGCGGGCTTTGTACATCGCGATTCATTGGCGAGAGAATACGGATCACAGTGCAAATCACTAGCAAGCTCGAGACAGTTCGACCGAAATCGACGCTAAAAATTGACATGGCTGATAAAATGTGATAAAAACACATCTATAGTACGATAAAAGGCGAAATAACAAAAATTAACCTTGACAATTGACACATTTTTCTATGGTTATACGTCAGTTGCCATTCTGAGACATCCGATGGAAGTAGGCCAAGGGACAAAAATTTACTGACTACACGGCACCCATGCGTCGACTCTTAGGGTGTCCCATCCCACAAATACTCCGACAATATGTCAGAACAAGTTAAAATACACAACGAACATTTACAGACCAAGACATATCGACCACAGCTGGTGAGATTCCTAAGACTGATAAAGTTCACTTATGCATAAGTTGACGTAGCTAAGTCAAAACAGGTCTCAAAATATCTACGCACATCGCATGACCTACAGCTGTTCAGTAAAGCTCGAATGCGTCAAAAAGGATGACAATCATGCAAAATCATTTTGACCTGTCACTCCTTGGGGGTCACCCTGTCCTTCCTCCACCCCTCTTTCCTCGCCGCTCATCCCTCTCTCCCCCACACCCATCTCCTGACCTGACCCCGATCGTGTCATCACCTCTCCACCAATCACCTGCGGCGCTCCTGGCGAGTACCCCGCCTGCGGCGCATACTGCCGCGTAGGAACCATTTCGCGTACAGCCTCGCGCGACAGGCCGTGTACAGTCTCGAGATGAGTGCGCAGGTGCGCCATGATGCCGAGGACTTTGCCGCAAAGTCGGCAGGTGGTGAGACCCTGGTGCTTTTTGACGTGGTGACTGAGTGAGACGCGATGTTGGTACCAGCGGCCGCAGACATTGCATTGATAGCGCTTCTCTGGAATGGTGACAGAGGGAAAAAACACGTCAGACATGGGTGTCATAGCTGTCCTGCAAGGTATGCACGATTAATAAAGTTCAACGGTTGCACGAACAACACGTTATTGACGCTATTTAAAGTGCTACAAATATATCCCGAATAACATCTTACCTCATGTCACACCGCATGCAAAAAGCTAGATATTTCGCTTGATCAGTGTATTTACTAATCAACAGTGCACTCGTAGAAATAATTCCAATTTCTCGGAAAACTCTTGCCTCGTCAGGCGGAGACAAAATATCCACGCACAATATGACGTCACTCGTTAGTCGTTAACCTAAGTGCCATGAGTGAAGTCACGCATGCAATCATCATCAAAAAGCACCCAGTATAATCAATAGAAAATACAGCATATCCGTGTACTGCTAAGGCCGAATCTCTTTCGGTCGATTATAACAAGGCAGTTGTGCACAGTGCACTACAAGACATCATCTTTCTGAGCCCCTGAGAACCTTACGACGGCAACAGGGAAGGGTCCGAACTCCGATGACACACAGAAAACCCCTGATAAACTCCTAAAACTCCCATTGAGGGGGAGTTGGAAGTCACACAAGCGCATGCGCGACATTTCCCAATGACAGTAGAAAGCTTCTTTCAGCAGGCGCAGCTCAATGCTGTATTGTGAGTATAGGGCTTCCGGTTAGAATATTTATCAAAACGAAGGAATGATCACAATCTACAAGTTGATAAAATCCCAGCATAGCGATGAGTTTGTACGAAAAAAATCGAAAAAGTACATTTACTAAACAAAACTACGTGGCGAAAACATAAGATGATGTTTCCTCTGAACGTTCGCACAATTCGATCGATTCTACTTGGGATAGTCAACAGTGCAAAGTGCATGCACCGATAAATCAAGGATAATAATTAATTCTGCATGTTCTCATAACAAGTGAACAGATGTGACATACCACGATAGAACGATCTCCGATACGGGACAGCACGCCATAACGAACAGCCTTCAAAGAGTCCATCTCTTACCACCGCAGCACTACTCGGCTGACCGGGGAGGCGGCACAGACCCGGGAACAGCCTCTCCTGCCGTCGATGCCGTTTCTTCCCAATCCAACGCCATCGTCAAAGTCGACGACGACGACGACGAAGCTTGTGTCGTTGCTTTCAGCGGCACCGCCGCAGCAGCCGTCACCGTCGCATTATTCACTCTTCCCAGCCCTGAGTTCCCGGCACCCAGCGACCCCAATGACGTCACCAACTGCACCGCTGACGTCATTGGAGGCATGGCCAGCGCCGCCGCCGCCGCTGCGGAGCTGGCTGACGCCGCTGAAACCACACCGGCTACCTCAGTCTGCGACATGCCGTGTTGGAATCTCAAATGTTCTCGGAGTGTCGCGAGACAGCTGAGGACTTTGCCGCACACGTAACAGCCGGTGAGGCCCTCGTGGGTGCGTTTGTGTCGGTACACGGAATCGCGGTAGTGGTACACTTTGCCGCAAATGTCGCATGGGTAGATCTTCTTTTTGACGGCGCCTGGCGGGGAGAAGAGGGAAGGTGGTTAGATGTTGTGGGACTGACGAGGCGCAAAAGTGGAGACAAAAGGAAGGCATACCATGCACTGAAGATTTTATTCAACTGATATTTCAAACATTTTCATCCAAATTTTTTAAAACTTAAATTCACATCAAATATAACGATATGCAAAAACAAACAACACCAGATCAGACTACGAAACAATGAAAAGTGTGTATGAGAATAAGGCGAAATAAGTTTGGGTATGACCAGGATAAATGAAAGAAAAATGCATCGAATGATTAAGGAACACTCGACGACTATGGCGTTGCATGACGAAAATAGATACAACTCAGAACGGCTGTATCGTATGGCTTGAACCAAAATGGAGCAAAAATCTAGCGCTACAACAATAAGCCTCAAACTACAAATCAAATCCGCAGAAAGCGAAAGAGAGGGGAAAGTTTGGCTACGAAATAAAAACTTCATGTTTCTCAAACATTTATCAAAATTTGCTGAATTTAATGACGGTATCGAATATCAAGTTCAGTATCCAAATGAAATGCATCATGCATTAGTAGCACGAGTACCATATAAAGAAGACTATATTGAACCTACCTGACTGGGGTAATCCCGTCGAAAACCTCCAAGTCTTGAAAAAGTGTCTTCGATTGTTTTTTTTTTTTCAATTCCTTCAAATCGTTCGCGATTAATAATTAGCGCTCGCCAAAAAAGACAACTTGAAAGCAGTTACGAATCCTTCATATATCATCAAAATGTAATCAGGTAAGCTTTGATCTTCGATCTTCAAACATCTTTTTGAAAATAAAATAATTAGTCGATACATACTAAACCTATCAAGGCCAACCGGGTCTACTGTAATTATCATATGATGGTTAAAATCCGTCATCTATGACCAATGAAGACTGCAAAAGAAATACAACAGGTTTACCAAAAAGTACGATAATTTTGACAACCTATTTTCATCATGCATCGCCATAGCCATAATAATATTATGATCATCTTTGTCCTTTACCAGCGAAACCCCAACGCGATTGAAAGTTCGCAAGTTTCTTTACGGGTGTTGAAATCGAAGGTGCCCAAGGCTTGGTTTAGTGCATTCCGAAAACTAATTGCACCCCCTTCCGTGAAACGAAATAAAGATGTCTGTACTTTAATGCCGCTTCTTTTCAGCCAAGCAACGTCACCAGTCCCAAGCTCATTGGTATCGATATAGAACCGGGCCGGTAATTTCATACAATTATATGAACGTTTAACCCTTCGCTGCCGATAATGTTGCATGTAATACGGTACATCCCCGCATACGATTGATGTGAGCAGGATTTTACCGCGTTTGAAAAGGCTCTCGCATATGATTTCCTGACTTCGGAAAGAGTCTGTTTCAGCCTTTATGCCTGAGATGAAACAGACTCTTTCCGCAGTCAGGAAATCGCATGCGAGAGCCTATTCAAATACATGGAAGCACGCTCCCATCAATCGCACGCACCTCCCTGATGCGATTGATGCGGGAAGAATTATAATGTATTTGAATAGGCTCTCGCATGTGATTTGCTGATTGCGGAAAGAGTCTGTTTCAGCCTTTAGTGTCAAATGGAGTCATACCCTGTGAGTTGAGGCAGTAGGGCTGGAGTCGCTGAGCAGAAGGACCAGCCGCCAGAGCCATCACTGCGAATGAAAAGACATAGAGGTCACAAAAGGTTACTAACGGTCACCCAGAGGTCAGTTGAAAGGTCAGGAGAGGTCACACAGGTGGTGACCTCCTAGGGTCGTTTACATTATTAGAGGCAGCATTTCCGGAAGCAAACTTGATGCCGTTCTTCATATAACGCACTTGTCCAGTGATATCGGATACGTCTTTTCTTTGTCCGTCTATAAATTATTTTCAATCTGCAATGTCAGAAATCGTTCCTTGTATTCCCTTCTCTTTGCATCCCTGCATTTCGCTATTTCACATGACATCACATTTATCCCTTCGACCTTCTCTTACCTTATTTTCTTCGTGATCTCCCTCTCTACATTCCACTCAGCAAACCATTTTCCAATTAATCCCCTCCTTTCATCACCTTAATTCCTCACTCATCCCTCCCCTCTTCCCCCTCTTCCTCACCAGCCGCCGCGGCCGCCGCCGTATCCCGTGCCATCCTGCCGTCCTGGAGAGCCGCCAGTGAGCCCAGGTGATCCACCGACTCCCTCGCACCCCCTCCAGAGGCGGGGCCGGAGCGGGAGGAGGTCTCGTAGTCGGCTACGTAACCGATAGTGGCGTCCAGAGAGGTGTCCTCGTCACTAAGGTCCACCTTTTCCACCTGAGGGAGAGAAGAGTTTGGTTGTTACGAGCGAGTGAGCGCAGGCTGCGAGCGAAGCGAAGTCTTTTCAATATAACGAAAAAAAATATCAGTATGAGCGGCCCGTCCCGGCCTGTAACGCTTTTGAGAGGCTTATATCTCAGCAACCGCTGGACCGATTGGCCTGCGGTCTTTTTTGCTGGGTAGCCCCAACCCTTCTATCCCGTAATTGACTACTTTTGATACATCTCAGTGACCGTCGGGGCACGTGCCACGTGAAAAGTCAAGGGTGTTCAAGCTGTTTTGCAAAAGTAGTGATTTTGAGAGGCTCATATCTTAGCAGCCGCTAGGGCGATTGTCTTGCGGTAATTTTTGTAGGGTAGCTGCATCCCTTCTACCAAAGGTCGGATACTCTTGATCTATGTGAGTGACCCCCACTGCACGTGCAAAATGCAAAAAGAAGAGGTGCCAAATTTGTTCCCATTTCAATAACTCGGTAATTACTGGGGCGATTTCGCTGAAACTTGCATACAGGTAGGCACCCACCAGGCAATGCATTCCCATGTGTTGCGGTTAGGGTGCTACTGCACGTGCGCACGTGCAGGGGCGCTTCCAGATCTCAAGAACGGCTGGGCCGATTGCGCTCAAATTTGGTACACGGTTGGAGACCTGCTAGTAGGGTGCCGTGCAAAAGTCAGTTTGGACCCCGTTTGCACGTGCGCACGTGCAGAATGCCGCTTCCAGATCTCAGGAACGGCTGGGCCGATTGCGCTCAAATTTGGCACACCGCTAGCGACCGGTTAGAAGGGTGCTTTGCACAAGCCCGTTGGAATTACCCTCTCGCCCTTCCACACGTGCAGGGCTCACTATCTCGCTCGCTCGTTCTTCGCCCAAAAGGCGTTTTACTGGTGGTTATTGTATTGTATTGTATTGAACAATCATGAGCGATCCACATTCTGAAAGTGCGTGGCGATTACTGCTCAGAATCCGTATCCGCGGTTACTAATCTAAACATTCACAGCATTCACACATTCACTCACGTCAGAGCACGGACAGAGACACTTTCGTAGTACCACAGGTACAACTCACCCACCCACCAACCCGTTGGTCAGCGACGATCAGTTGATGCCCCGTCCACTATCGCGGCTTTAACAGATCGGGCAAAGGGGGCGGGGGACAGCTGCGACAGCTGAGTTGGAAGACTGTTGAGTAGAGCTGCGGCTCGATAGGCGAACCGCCGCCTACCCGTTTCCAGCCGTGGTCGCGGAAGGTGAAAGAGGTGGTCTTGCCTGGAGTGTCTCTCCCGGACAGCGCTGTTTGTAACGAACATGGTTGCCAATTCCTCGGGTTCGCCGCGCTGAATGGCTTTGTGGGCGATAACAAGGGTTTGATAATCAGCCATATGACGCGGGGACAACCACCCGAGCTTTTTTCGCAGGTCAGAGACATGGGCAAATTTACGGCGACCGAAAATGACTCTAGCAGCGAAGTTCAAAATTTTTTGGAGACGATCGAAATTTTTTTGGGACCCATTGCCATAAACTGAGAGGCAGTACTGGATGCGTGAGATAACGAGTGCTGTCACGAGCGTTCTAATGATGCCATCCGGGAGACTGTGGCGCGCATGGGAGAGACCGATCAATAGTCCCGTACACCGGCGGCTGAGTTCGGAGACGTGAGCGTCCCAGGATAGAGTACTGTCAAAAGTGACGCCCAGGTTCCCCACCTGCGCGCATGGCTGCAACGCTGCGTCACGGAACGATACCCTGAAATCTGGCAATTTGCGTAAATTTTGACGACTGCCGAAGACAATGAGCTGTGTTTTACTGGCGTTGACCTTCAGGGCGTTAGCGCAGAACCATTCGTTTAGTGACGCGAGCGAAACCTCCATGCGCGAGATGAGAACTCCAAGGTCCCTGGCAGGACCGCTAACCAATACTTGGGTGTCGTCGGCATATTGAAAGACTACTGCATCACCCGCGTACAGCGATAAGTTGTTAGAGAAGATGGTGAAAAGTAACGGCCCTAACGCAGAGCCCTGGAAGACACCCATGGTATTAGGAAGAGGCCGAGACAGCACTCTACTTCCGGACCCATTTTTCAACGACACGCTCTGGGTGTGTCCATGAAGATAGGCGGCGAACCAGGAAATTTCGATACCGTGCAGCATAAGTTTTTGCATCAGAAGCTCGTGGTCTATCACGTCAAAACATTTACTAAGATCGAGAAGGCATAGCATTGAGATCTCCCCCCTGTCGGTGGCGGCCAGGATGCGTTCAGTGACGGACAACAACGCGGTTTCAGTAGAGTGCCGGGGGCGGAAGCCGTGCTGTGAGGATGCCAGAAGGTGATTGTGAGAGAGGTAGATGTAGAGCTGCTGATGGACAATGCGCTCAACCACTTTCATGATTACAGGAACCAGGGAAATGGGCCGGAAGTTTGCGGGGTCTGAAGGATTGCCGGATTTGAACAGAGGGTGAACTATAGAATGTTTCCATGAATCGGGGATATCGGATTGAATTAAGCAGGTATTGATAATATGCAGGATGACACCACCAATAGCTCGGAATCCGGCTTTCAGCATGCGAACGCAGACACCGTCGGTACCGCAAGCACCCGAGCTACGCATGCTGAAAATCGTCCGCTCAAGCTCGGCAAGAGTGATTTCCCGAAGTTGAAAGCTGCATGCACCAACACGGGTAAGACGTACATTCAAATCAGTAGGTGCGTTTTGGGCTCGGATCTCGGCAGCGACACGAGGACCGACGGATACAAAGAAAGAATTTAAGTCATTGGCAGATAGGTCAGGCTGAACATCAGAACCATCCTTCTTACCGGCAACCACCGACCTGATACATTGCCAAACTTTGTTGGGGCCCCGTTCCCCGATTTCCCTCTGTAGTTCCACCCGCCGGTCGCGACGCAAAGCCGCCCGGACAGAGCGGTTAAGGTTTTTGTACTCGCTCGAGTTGCGGCCTAAATGGCGGAGCGCAGCGCGACGTTGGGACATGAGATCTCGAGTGGCGTCGGAGACGGGAGGAGCAGTCGGGTTACGGATAGACACACGCTTAATTGGGGCATGGGCATCGAAAACAGGTACGAAGAAAGACAAGAAAGCATCCCACTTATTACTGACGGTTTCGGCGGAGAATACATAATCCCAGTCAACATCGAGTAAGTCATGATGCAGTGCAGGGTGATCCAAACGCTTAAAGGAGCGAGACGAGATAACAGTGGGCTTTTGACGCAGTTTCGGCACATTCATAACGACATCGATAAATTTGTGAGGACTGAAGTGACAATATTTAACACGGGTGTCGCAAACGAGCTCACGGTAGTTAACAATACACACATCCAGGAGCGAGCCGGAGGAAAATGTTGCAGTTGTCACTAATTGATCTAATGAGTAATTTGATAGGAAGCTGCTTAGGTGTTGACGCGCGCGGAAATTAGGCTCTTTCAATAAATCACAGTTGAGGTCGCCGCATATGACAAGCGGAACACAGGGGTAATCGATTATAACTCGTTGCAGTTGGGCCTCGAGGTCCGTGAAGTCGGCAAGCAGAGCAGCCTCACTGTGTCGGGGTGGCCGATACAGGGAGCAGATAATCAGCTGCCGGCCCTGTTCAAGCTTTAGCAGCGCCCACAGTGACTCCAGGCTGCTGGCAGAGCTCCCACTGCCCGGGATCTTGAGTGCGGTTGACGTGATTTTAGCCTTGGTGATAATTGCGACACCGCCGTAACCGCTACCATCTGGGCGGTCCACACGACAGAGCGTGTATCCTGGAATGACCAGGAGGCGGTTCGGGGTGGTCGAGCGCAGCCAGGTCTCAGCCAGAAGCATGACGTCGTAGTCGTGACGATTGAGCTCAAACGTCAGCTCCTGAATTTTGGGCTTCAGGCTTTGAATATTCAGGGAGCCGATGAGTAATTTGGGCGGGTCGTTCGGCCGGCTAGACTGGCGCTGAGTCTGTCGAGCAAGCCGGCCATGTGCTCCGTCCGCTGGGCTGAGGGGGCGTGGCCGATTATGATGGCGGATGACATGGGCGGGGAGACTGCGCCGGATAGTCTCGGCGACTTCCCGAGCCGTGTTGTTGTTAAGCCGGTCACGCACCTCCATCAGAAATGCCAGGTCGTATGCACAGGCAGGAGCAATTTGGTCGTCCCGTCGATGGTTGGTGTCAGTTACAGATTACAGAGAGGTGGATTTGAACCTCCAGAGGTAAGAGGTGGAAGGCTTGGTCAGACACTTTATCAGTGGTCACATAAAAGAGGGTTGAATAAGTTTTTCCTACACTATGCTATCCAGAATCTTATCTTGCAACAAATACACGTCAAAACTACACCTCGGTTAACTCCTCCCAGCTCTCGACCTTTCCTCTTTCCTCTACTTTTTTGTACCTTTCAATCTTCCCTCCCCTCTGTCTCCATCCATCTCTTCCCTACCCTTACTCTCGCCTTCACTCCCTTGTTTGTTAATTGGGGCTTTAGGGCGCGCCGACTACTAAGGTCATTTTGCGCCCACCCTTCACTCCCTCTTCCCCAATCCATTTCCTGAGCTCCTTACTACCCTCTCCCCCTCTACCATTCCTCCCCCCCTCTCTCACCTTCACTCCGTCCACACCGGCCGCCCTCTCCGCCCCGGTGACCTCTGCCCTGGCCTCGGGCGAGGTCAGAGGTGACGGAGCCGACAGGTCAGATCCACACTCGGGTGGGCTCCCTCCCCCCGCCCCCGCCACGGCTGCCGGCGGCGGTGGCGGCGGCGGGGGAGGTGGAGGGGGTGGAAGGGGAGGTTCACTGTCGGTGGTGGCCGGTGAGGCGGTGGTCCGGGCTCGTTTGGACGGCGGTGACCGGGGACGACCGGGCGGGGCGCGCCGCGGCGCCGACTGTGGCGGCGGTGACGGCTGAAATGGAAGGGGGAGACTTGATAATTTTGCTGATGACATTGAGTAGAACTGAAAGGCTAGGTATATTGTTTGGCAGAACATACTGTGGCTTGACGGAAATTTAAAGTTCATTACACAACTTTGTATACATCACCTACGAACCCAGGCAATAATATCTTGGTATGTCAAATTCACACATTTTTCTGCACATGCATGATTACCTATTGCTTTTTCCCTTCCAATGCTCCACACCTTTTTATCTCATCCATAGATCACTGCATGATATAAGACTTCAGGAACCCATAAACATAGAGGTCTAGGTGTGAGTCTTACCTTCTCATCCTCCCCACTGAGCCCCCTGATCTGCAGCATCTCCGCCGTCTTCAGGAAGCTCCCCAGCTGCGTCTGTGACACGTTCACACTGCCCTTATACATGAACTCAATGATGGCAGACAGATCCTGGGCACTGGTGTCCTTCAGAAAGATGACCATCTGCTGGCATGAGTTGTTCTGAAAACACAAAATGAGGAAAAGGCTTGTTGACACATAGGTTCCCAAGTTGACTGAGGTGATATGGCAAGGAAGGTCAATTGAACATTGTGAAAATTCCCAGAATTCTTAGTTAGGAAGTCATTGTGTTCACATGGTTCAGGTTGAATGCAGCTCTTCTCATTTCCATAACAAGTTCTGAGTAAAATTGAAGCAGAGAGGGATCAAACTGTTCCAATGTCTGACTTAAGTAGCACTCATGTGACTTGTGAGTTTGTCTGTCAACAACTCCTATTAGCTCACCTTGAGAAGATCCCTAAAGTAGGGGCTGCAGGCCGACAGCATCATCCTGTGTGCCTTGACACGCTGTCCCTCGCAGCAGAGTGTGATATCCACCAGCTCACCGTCCCGCCGCAGGTGGTCAAACATGGAGGTGATGCTGCTCTGGAACCCATCCCACTTGAGGCAAAACTTCTGGGAGTCCATCATCTGTGAATGCAGATTAGTGAGGCAATGAAAAAATCACAATGTCTTGGACCTTGGTTATTCAACAACGCATCATTCAGCCTCGACTGTTAGCATCAGCAACTGAAGGTACCTACCTAACTATCACGTAACAATGACCCATGATCTTTTTTAAAATATGTATTAAAAGATATTCAGTCTAAGCCCTCATGACCAAGCTGGTAGATATTCATATTAAATCATCAATTTGCATTTGGTGACGCCTTCCTTCTAAGCTTGCCAATCTCAATCTGAATCGTGATGAAAGTGCTCAAGGCGGTATTAGTATATATTAGGTCCGAGTGGACAATTGTGACGCTGTTGATACAAATATGTAACAGGAAAAAATTTAGGTTTTAGGTTAGGTTTGGTTATAGGTTTGTAGGTTTTAGGTTTTAGGTTTTAGGTTGTAGTAGGTTAGGTTAGGTTGGTAGGTTGTAGGTAAAAAGGTAAGGTTAGGTCAGGTTTGATTATGTTTTCTTTTATTTCCAGGACATATAAGTATCATTTTTGGATTCAGGATGTCAAATAATGTGAGAATATGAAAACTTTATCTTTTAACAGTCACTCAGACTTAATGTATACTTTTACCCCCAAGGCTATATTGCTAGCTACTCACGTCATGCGGCTGCTATGCCGTAAATTACTATCAATTGAGACTTGGACTATTTGTTTAAAAAAAAAAACATTGAAAATCTCCCTAGGCATATATTTCCTCTCACAGCCGCTAGGTAGCGCCAAACCACAATTTCAGCGCAGTATGCAGTCAGCTGAAAATAAAAAACAATTTTTGTGCTAAATATTTTCCATTAAACAATAAAACGCGTGTAAAACAAAATCAATGAAAATTGTCTCTTAACAAAAAATAAAATTCGAAATAAATTTTGCCCTTGAAAAAACAAAATTGTGTATGCTTTGTGCATCAAAATGCGGAAATCCAAGTGAATTTAATTCCAACAATCGTTATCTCCAATTTCCATCTAAAAGTTAATTTAAAAATAAACGTATTTAAAAACAAATAACGTAAAAACAGAAATTAAAGTGAATGAAACTAAAAATGCCCATATTCAGGTGAAACAAGCAGTCTCTGGTGAAACAATTTTAAGTTTCATCGGAAAACCGTACAAAAAAGGCAAAGTTCTACGGTTAACTTCATGCCTTGCTGCTTCAGGTCTTCAACTATGGTCGCTAGCCGGTCTCGAACCCAAAAGCTTCAAAAGTCTAAAATGCATGCTGACGTCACGCTAACCACTCGGCCACTTGAGTAAACCCGTTGGGGCATCTGGGCCCTGTTTCACCGGTGATAGCAGCACGCTGCTATCAAATTGCGCGAGCTGACGTAATGTGATGACGTCATACTGCTGACGTAAGGGGCAATTCTGGCGCACGATTGCCGCAATATTGTTTTACGTCATCAACTAAATGTTCAAAGTTTACGTCCAAATTTTCCTTAAACCCAGCTTTTTTTAAATATATCATCTTAAAAAAATATATATCAAAAATGAATATACTATCATGACTGCATAAATTCTTATTTTTTAGGCTCATACGTCACTTAATGCCGCGGCCAAGGTCGCGGCCATCGTGCGCCGGAACTGCCCATCACGTCAACAGTATGGCGTCATGACATGACGTCAGCTCGCGAAACGTGATAGCAGCGTGCTGCTATCACCGGTGAAACAGGGCCCTGGAAGCGCATTATGTCAATCTCAATTTTGGGCCGTTTTAGCCCCGCCCATTTACGCCATATAGGTACCTAGTCATGCGCAGGGCCTCCTCTAACATACGCACTGGGTGGGCAAAATTGCCCACCCAGGGCAAAATTGCCCACCCAGTGGCGTCGATTTGCCCACCCAGAAGCAAATGCAAAAATGTTGGTCCGGCCGGACGTCCGGTACTACCTTTCTGGTCTTAAGCAAACTGGATGCTGTTTGAAGGTCAAAAAAAGTTTTCTGGTTGCCCGATATTCAGGGGCGTAGCCAGAATTTCCTCAAGGAGGGGGCCAAACGCACAGGGGCCCAAGATAACCCCCTCAAAATCCAAAAAGCCTTCTGGTTGCATCCATATATTTTTTTGGAGGGGGCCCAAATAAATAGAGAAAAAATATTTAATAAAATAAAATATTAGAACTGAGGGGTAAACACTAAGCAGTCCATGGGCCCTGTTAGATAGGCCCACGAATAGCTTCATAGAGCCGCCAGTCGGTTTTGAGGGCGGTCTAAGGGCCCGTAGGTCGGATGAAGGTTCTTCAGACCGTCACAGGCCCCTACAGCGCATGAGAGCCTCGTAAGCCGTCTGAGGGTCATATAAGCCGCCTAAGGGCCACTAAGACCGACAAAAGCCCTCCTTGCACTTGCAGAGGCCCAGTCATGCCGACGGAGGGCTCTCTCAGACAAACTGAGGACCCGTTCAGGGCATTTGAGTGCCTCCTCAAACCGATAGGGGCCCCTCAGATCGACAGTGGATCCGATCCGAGCTCCCTCAAACCGATATAAGGGTCAGATCAACAGTCGGAACGCATTGATTCTGTTTACACACCGTTGGACCCAAGTTGGACCCATCCCATCCAACTGGCCCCCTGGTTTCAATAGGGCCCCAAGGCTCTAAAATTGGGGCTCTCTTGGCCAAAGTATAACTACTCAGCTGTGTCAAAGGATCTGCCGCAGGGGCCTTTGCGTCGCCAAGGGCCCACTGTGTCAGCCAGGGGCCCCTATAGAATAAGGACCCCTGGCTTCCAGGGGGGGGGGGAGGCATGATGAGAAGATGGTTTACGACGATGCTGGTAGAGTGAAGGAAAGACGACACGAAACAGCATTTACAACAGCATCAGGAGAGTACTTATTTATCTTAAAACGGCCAAAATGCCTCGGTGTTCAATTGCATACATGCATTGGCATAGATAACCCTTTGATATAGGACATCAATTAATTAGTTGAATTTAACTAATGCTTCAATAACGACCCGAGAAGGGACGAGTGATTTGGATAGTGAATATGTGGCTGTAATCTATTATCGGGAAATTCAATTTACATACAAACAGACACAGCAGCCAGTCTCATCAGGAAGTACCAGCTTCCACCGATCGCTGTGGAGTTCGAGAAAACATTGCGCTGGCCGTAAGTCGTAATCTTATCAGACGGCGTCTGACGATAAGATGTCATGACGACTTTGATGGTCGCCACTGATTCTACACCCAGTCTGGTCGGTTGCCGGGAGATGAGGCCGCCGCGCTGCCGTCTTACAGCTGGCTTGGAGCCACCGTCACCGCCACAGCCCGAGCCGGAGATGAAATGAAACGGAAGAGATTGTTATAAAATTGAAATTTCTTTAACTTCACTCCAGTGGGGGGGGGGGGGGCATATGTTACCACCCTGTCGCGTTTTTTGCGTGTAAATAAAAAACCGCGGCGCGTAGCGCCGAGCCGCTTGAAGTAGCTTTTGGAACAACAATTTCGGACAATGTGTGAAATTTTTGACCCCAGGTCATGTCAGGTCGGGTCACCAGGTCAAGTTAACTGACCAAGCCTAAAAAAAGTTTGCAATCATGTCCAGCCTGCAGTGTTTGTGAGAAAGGTTTTAAACTTGGTGGATTGCATGATTTTATGGGCGCCTACAATTTTCATATCTCGGATTTTTATATCCGTGACCTAAGGTCAGGTCAGTGGCGTCACCTTTCCATTACAAGTCAATGGAGAAAAATGAAAATGCCTCTAGATCCGTGTGTACGCATAGGAACAGTCCAAATATTTCAGAATCACAATGATTTGGACCACCCGTGATGACCAGGGTGTCATTTTTGCTGATAGCCTCTAGAAAGGTCATCCGAGGTCATTTGAGGCTACAAACAGATTTTTGCCAATAACTCGCGATCGGAAAGAGATAGAACGCTGAGGATGGTCTCATTGTGTTTGTCTTGCCGAGACGCATCGACTGTTATGCAACATGACCTTTTCCGGTCAGGTCATGACCTTGACCTGAGGTCAAATTTTCAAGTTGACCTTTCAAGGTCAAAATGTAGTTCATTCGACGCGTCTCGGCGAGAGGAACACGATTCTGGCAATAAAAAGGTCGTGGCTTTTTGCTGTCGAAAGTTATTGTCGAAAAACACTTTTCGTAAAACAGCTATTTTTTTAGTTTTTGCCCTCTGGAGGCTAAACCCGTGACCTGAGGTCAATTTTGATTATGACCTTTTCAAATGAAGAGTTCAAGAGCTATCGAATGCTTTCGCATGCGTTTTTCTAGCTACCATAGTTCCTGAGATAACGGCATGTTTTCTGAAAAATATAATGACCATTGGCAAATTTTGACCTTTGATGACCTCTGGTGACCCCAATATTGCTCTAAAATGAAAAATGACTGAAGTACTTTCAAACGTACGAATTGAGAGCTATCGACTGCTTTTTACGGTGTCTTTCTAGCCCTCTTAGTTTTTGAGTTAGAGGTGGGTGGTAACATATGCCCCCCCCCCCCCACTAGGGCGAAGCTGGCTGAGACCGCCACTGGGGCGCGGGTTAAGTTTATTCCGTATTTCTGTTTACGTAGAATAACATTGATGGGGTAGGAAAGGCTTTAAAATCATCTATCGTTTGATGCAAATGGACACGAAAGAACTTCAAAGGTACGACAACGCACATTTGAAACACAACTGCGGAAAACGCGAAACTTTACTATATGAACCAGGGACTTCTAACCGATAACCTTGCTTTACACAGCTAAAAGTACTATGAACCTACTACTTCCACTTTGTTGTTTACTTCAACACCGTTCGTTAAGGCCTGGCTACACTATGCGTTTTCTGCGTGCGTTTTTTTTTTTGCGAGTTTACGTGATTTGCGGAATATGGTTCCAGAAAGAAACGACATTACGTTTTTGTTATATGTTTTTCATTTAAACTTTCAAGTAACATAAACGTTTTATTAACTTTTATATAAATATTAAAGAAGTTAAATTAATAATAACCTTTTTTCTAGAACGATATTTAGGAAAACACGCAAACTCGCAAAAAAAAAACGCACGCAGAAAACGCATAGTGTAGCCAGGCCTTCAGGCGCAACTTATCTCAACGCACCGCAACCCGCCCGGCGCACACTATAGTCCCCCGCACACAAACAGAGTCACGACTGCAGGCGGCTACCTATACCAGGCGGCTATGATACGAGCTGCGGGACATTCGACCTTGACCTGACCCGAGGCAGCGTCTGGGGCAGCGTCATACACATCCGCTACGTGGAACCCATACCTGTTATAAATAACAGATCTACACTGTCTCGATTCGCATGGACTATAGAGTGCTAAGAACGGATACTCGACAATCGATATGGTATACATGATTTAGCCACACACGACCATTATAGGTACACAAAGAAAATCAGCATCTTCAAAAGAAAAAAACATCTTCAAACACCGAATCAAATCGGTGATGTGGGCCTAATACCTACCTATCGACTAACGTAAAAGGCAATCAAACGTGGCTTTTTCATTACGAAAATGCTAGCTGTCTACTAACAGCTAGAGCCATGCAACAGTGCAACTTAATTAAGCGTAATGACACTGTCCGAATTTTACCGGTAAATCATAGAACTGGCGCGAAACCACTTACCAAGTCCGGATCTACAAGCGATACCTACATTCTACAGGGATTACAAATAGTTACGCTATTCGCTACTAGATGGCAGGATGATCGAACGCCTGAAGATATACTGTGCCGCATGGCACGGGGAATTCCGACGCAGGCCGCAGCACATGCCGTACAAATATTAAACGACGCCAAACGCTTGCATGTTCACGCCAGCGTCTAAGATGCGAAAGCAGAAGAACGTGCTGTTTTTTTAACGTTTTAGCCCGGCCCGAAGCTCAGTTGTTTTATGATTGAGCAATGAGCATTGCATCGGACATCGGTTCCCCGAGCCGAGAGCCCGGGTTCGAGTCGTTCCGGCGCTCGATCTATGAGACTCCTGACGGGAATGGTCTGCGGTTGGTGAGAGCAGCTGCAGACACTTGGTCAGTTCTGTGAGACGAATCCTATTTGTATCCATTATCCAGCTATCCGGCACTATCAGTATCTACTATCCACTTATCCAGCTATGTTTGAGGAAAATGCCAAGGTTTGACTTCTAAATTCTCCCGATTCCCCGAAATTGTGATTGGACGGAGGGGGCAGGCCGTGCATGCTTAACCCTATTCCTGGCGGGCTCCGCCGGGACAAGAAACTGGCGGGGGGGGGGGGCCGATTCGGCCCCCCCTGAGATCTCGAGAACGAAGCAAGATAGCGACAAGCGGTAAACGGCATCGGATACGCACGGTCAAGATCTACAATTTTTACTAAGGTCATTTTCAGGTCAGGTCAAAGATGACGTCACAGGGGTCGAAAAAGTCAAAATGGCGGCGCTAGATATGGAGAGAGTTTTTCTCGAATAACTTTCGAATTAGTCAAGATAGGAACAAACTAAGGGCATCATCGTGATCCTCTCGTCAATCCACAACGAATGATATATATGTTGACCTCGCAAGGTCAAGGTCAAAGGTTGACCTCAGGGCACGTGACCTCGAGGTCATCATGTATATCATTCGATGCGTCTTGACGAGCTGAACACAATGAGACCATCCACGCGTCTGTATCTTGTTCCTGTACGGAGTTATTGGCCAAAAACCTTTGGTGACCTTTGATGACGTCACATGACCTCACAGCTGCCCAACAGCAAAACAGACCTCAAGGTAGCGAAGGTTGATCGTATATGAAGTCATGTATGGTATATGGGGCCATTCCGACCCGTTTTAGTGGTAAAAACAGGGAGTTGATTTTTCCCCCATTGACTTATAATGGGGAGGTCGCGAAACTGACCTGACCTTAGGTCACCGATATCAAAATTCCGAGATATACAAATTGCACATACTGGTACCCTAACTAAAGCCTGAAGAGAAGAAATTGATCGGTCAAAAACTCTAGCTCTGGCGTGATTGCAAACTTTTCTGAGGTAGGGTCACCAAACCGCCTCTGGTGACCTGACCTGAGGTCAGATCAACTCAAAATTTTCAGACATGTTGCGTAGAAGCCTTTTAGGAAAAGTCAGAAAATTTGAGCTTCCTAGCTCAACGCGTTTGGGAGAAATAACCAAAAAACCTCAGGGGGGGGGGGGCTCCTGAGGCCCCCCCCCCGCCAGGAATAGGGTTAAAAGCTGAAGCTCCATGTAGCTCGGGACTCTGAGCACGTCACTCCGTTCATTGAACATATTCAAGTGGAATATCTGCAAATTAAAAAAATGAATTGAAAGTTAAACTGAATATTGTCTCAGCTAATGTTCAAGCTATGTTTCCATCATCTATGTAGAAGCACTTCTTTTGTCATGTTTACGTAAATGATTGCGCCGCTGACATTTATACAGCAACTTGTGCCGTAACAAATCTAAAAACCAAACGCGTACTTAGCGCCACACACCACTATCAGATCCATCAACTCAACCACCCACACTAGATCCCAATCTCTTCATGACCAATAGCTGACCCGACCTTTCACCCACCGCTACCACTTTTACTATCGATCAGCGATGGCTGTGCCCGGCGCCCGAACCAGTCGTTGGGTCAGGTCAGCTCTGACCACGCCTGCGGGACCAGTTTTGGGGGCTGGACCCGGTGAGAGGCCCCGCGGCGCCCGCTCTAGGCAACAGTATTGGTCAGTGCTGCAGGGAGTGCGACGCACAACGGACTGGAGGTGTGCCGTTGGAAGCGAAAATTGCGATAGCGCACTGTGGGGCACGGACGCTGAAGTGTGATCGGAATTCGGAGGGAAATACTCGGGAGAAAAACGAGTGTTGGGCTGGGTATTTTGGTTTTTTTCTAAAGCGATTTCGAGACCTTCGAAGAAATTACGGAACCAGGAAAGGAGCAGCGAAGACCTATAAGATTTGGGGAGGACGGCAGCTCCAAGAGGAAGGCTCCATGAACTTCAGTCACTAGTGGATCAAGGTAAGCAGATGCATTCCTTGTGTCATAGTAGTGATAAATTGCTTGCGTTCAAATAAAAGTAACTTCAGTATGCAAGCAAACTTAATCAGGAACAAGAAAAAAGCTTGCAATCGACCTCTTATAACTTCGCTGTAGTTGTAGCATATATAACCATTCACACCAAAAACACTTCAGACTAATCACGATTGTAGCATATCCTGTTCAACAACGACAAAGGGATCTCGCTCATTTGCAGTAGGGAGATATAATATCTACATGATTTAACCCTCGCCGGCACAGGGGGGGGGGGGGTTGATGCAACCCCCCTAAGTTTTTCCGCAAATAACTCGCGTAAAAAGCGTCTGATCTCGACGAAACTTTCAGTACCCTCGCATTGATCAATTTTACACATATCCTAAAAATTTCATGACCCTGACTACAATGACCTTTGACCTGTGACCTCTTTTCTGAGACCATGTTTGGCCGGAATCGCGATTCGGCGTATGTCGGCTCGCATTAGCCGCGCGTTTGCAAGCTTTTCGTGGTTTCAAACGTTCAAACATGTGATTTGATGTTGCTCCCATGCATTAGGGTGGTTGTCAAGGTCACATGAAGGTCAGGTCAGGTCATTGACCTTTGGTGACCTCGGTTCACTTTTTCGAGTTTTACATGTTTCTAGGCTAGTTTTTGGAGCTGATTTCGAATTTAGCAACCATTTGAACATTTACGAAGTAGTTTTGGTGCCTTCGTAACATGTTACGAAGCTGTCAGAGGCGGTTGACACGTATTACGAATACTCGTCACAACCCCTACCGCGGTTGACCTGACCTGACCTGACCCGACCTGGTCTTAATGCTTAACCCTAGAACGCCTAGGGGGGGGGGGGTTGTATCAACCCCCCCCCCCCGAGGTTTTTTCGAAGTGCACGCTAAACGGCTTGTCGTAGCGGGCTGAAATTTTCAATACCCTCTGGGGCAACCTTTGCGCATCTTTTGCCGAAAAAAATTGATCGGGTCATGTCAGGTCACGGAGTTATGACGTCATAAGAGGTACAGCCTCCGGCCGACAGTTACCAAACGTGTGCGCCGAATCCCTAGGTTTTCTGTCGGTGATACCCACATTGTTTGATGGATCATGATGAAACTTCCCATGCATGTTGGGGCAAGCATTGGCTATCGTGTGGTGCAAGAAAATTGACCGGGTCAGGTCAGGTCACGGAGCTATGACGTCACAAGAGGAACAGCGTCCGGTACTATTTTTGAAAAGCGCCCGAACCACTATTTTGCTAATTCTTGTCACCTCAATGGGAATATGCAGCAATATTAGCTTCTATAGGGAGCAAATGGACCTCCCAAATCCAAAAATACAATCAGATTTCAAAAATTTAAATTTTGATTTTTCGAATTTCTGCCACCGACTGTGACCTTGCCGACTTCCGGCGCTCCCAACGCGCCATTTTTAGAGCTAGGGAAACGAAATACATACCAAACGATAGAGAATTGATCAAGGAACACGATAGTGAAGGTTTCAAGTCGATATCTCCCACCGTTTTGCCGCAATCGCCGCGGAAAGTTGAAAAAGTTTGATTTTTTCGGAAAATTTGACCTTTGACCGGTCATAAGTAGGTCAAATGTTGACCTAGGACCAAAAAATATACCACCAATCGCGAGATCTCGTTGAGAGCAATCCGTTGGTTTTTTCCGCTAAGCTCTACGACCTTCCGTTTCGAAACGCCAGGGGGGGGGGTCGTAACAACCCCCCTCCCCCCCTGGTCGTTCGTGTTATGAGAAATGGCCTGGTCGTGCGAGGGTTAAAGACATCATCTCTGATCAAAACTAACACGATATTCGTGATCAGCACCCCGAAAAATCCCTTAGCAGCCACACTACGACTTTCAACAGGTCCCGATTTTCCCGACTTTTGGTCATTGACTGACCTGGAAGGTCAACCAATGATCTAGGACCTTAGAATTGGATATCATCGGCTTCCTCTTGTAACGGGCAACACGCTCGTTTTTTCTGCGAAGCTCTAGCTCGATCAGGGGCCAAACGCGAGGGGGTCGTACCCCCCCCCCCCTTGTGCCGTCGAAGGACGCAAAATGGCCAGTGCCGGCGAGGGTTAAGGTTGCGTCTATTTGCAATAAACGACTTAGATAAATTCGACCTAGGAACGTCTCGACATGCGAGACGGTGACTCAAATGCATACGGTTATATCGCACAAGGTGATGATTTGATAAAGATCCTATTCATTTCCATTTTAAATTCGATATAAACTCAGCGGTTGCACATGTATGTAAGACCGGAACCGTTCACTGGCACCCCGGAAATAGCGTTCGAGTTATTCTTAATCCCAAAAAGCGTTTTATGCCAGCATACAAATCCAGACAGTAGCGTAACGATGACGATTAGCCAAATCTAACCATAACTTTGCCACTGAATCTTTTGTAACTTTTTCGTAGCGATTCAATAAACGTCAATAACCTATTTCATTACGTTAAAACAAAATTAAAAAGGAACCGCCAAATTCTCCATTGACGGGAATTGAAGCTCATAGCAAAAGAAATTGAAACATGCAAAAGGCATATTTTCGCCTTCATATCGACTTCTTTTTCATTGAAACTCTGAACATATTCAATAAGTAGTTCGTTTGTTTAAATGGTTGTAAGAATAGTTCGTTATAAAATCATTGCTCGCTTCAACTTTGTCGAAGTCGTGACGGTTGTTGTTGTTGTTGTTGCTGCTGCTGTCGTTTTTGTTGTTGTTGTTGTTGTTGTTGTTGTTGTTGTTGTTGTTGTTGTTATTGCTGTTATTTTTGTCGTCCTCCTCAACCCCCTCTGACCCCCATCCTCTCCCCACCATCCCCCAGCCATCTCTCCAGGATGCAGGCGGGCCTGGTGACCAAAAAGTACCGGGTGATGGCCGCAGGCCTGCTCATCATGGCCCAGATCACACCCAAGGGCAACCCGAACAACATCATCTGTGACAACCCCATCGAGGAGACGTACGACTTCATCATCGGTGAGCGCCGAGGGGTGGAGGCGGTCAGTCACGAGAAACGATGATAGTATTTCAGTGTTATTTTATGAGCGAAAGTTTTTGGGTTTGGTCGCCTTGGTCCTAGCCCTAATTCAATATACCCTGGTGTTAGCTTGGTTAAGAGGGTTTGGAGATGGGCATAATGAAGCATCGATTGTACTATATAAGGCAGTGAGAATGGATTGGTAGAGACGGATTGCAAAATATGACTGCGATCACATGGCAACTAGGACTCAACTCTAAATTTGTTGTTTGTATCAGTGAATATTTACAGGCTAAGCGACGCTTAAAAAATTGCTCTTGTAACAAAAAAAAAACATTATAAACGTTAAGCCCGCTATGAACCACAGAAATACTTGGCATTTTGAATGAACCCAGCCTGGCCTATAAACACGTAATTTACATTAGATCAGTCATGATCCACTTTGATGTGGTTCACCTTGTGCCCGCAACCAATAACTGACCACACAAAAACCGCCGTAGCCACGCGACTTTTTACAACACCCGCCCCAATCTGACGACTTTTTATGCGTTAGACGTATGATGCTGATGTAACAATTCATGAAGCAGGATTGGTCGCAAGTTTAAAACTTCGGTACTGTGATATGGCTGTCAACGGTTGCAAAATGGACTGACACATGATTAACTACCTTTCGTACTTTCATTGCAAGGAATTCAAAGCATTCCACGCAGTTCAAGCTGTCATTTCCGATGTAAAAAAAAAACAGCTTTATTATGCCATGCACCACTGTTATGCACCGTGTTTTTTTGTTGTTGTTGTTGAAGGACTGGTTGTAAGGCAACATCAGTCTTTACATTTGCTGAACTTCGCTTACCTTTACTGGCCCTTGCAAACCTCTGATGACCCCTGATGACCTCTGATGACCCCCTCTGACCCCCACAGCCGGCGGCGGCACGGCCGGCTCCGTGCTGTCCGCCCGACTCTCAGAGGATGTCAACTCCCACGTGCTCCTCCTGGAATCCGGTGGTACGGGTACGGCCTATACTGAGTGGCCAGCCATGACTCGCTTTGTGTACGATACCAAAAAGTGGGACTGGAGGTACAAGAACGTGCGAGACGAGGGATACTGCTTCGGAATGAAGGATAAGGTTGGTATAATGGGAGGAAGGGGAGGGGGAGGGGTGGGAGAGAGTAACGCTTAAGGGTAACACATCGAGACAGAGAGATATAAATGTTTAGGGTAGGTATGGTGAAGACGGCAAGCAGAACTTTTACCCACTTGTTCTATCCCTCGTGAAATCTCTTACCAGCCTTAATGCACATTGCATAGGTATGCATTCTCCGTGAACACACACGTAACAATATTTCGAGACATGACCGGAAACAAGCAGACACGTAATTTGTCATAATGGTCAGACCTTACCAATTGATATTCCTGTCTCCTACCCTCCCCTGCCTCTTACCTTCCCTCAGGTGTGTAAGCTGTCCCGTGGCCGTATGCTGGGCGGTCAGTCGGCCTTCAATCGTATGATGTACGTCCGAGGAAATCGGAACGACTTCGACCTCTGGAAGAGGCTGGGCAACCCCGGCTGGGGCTACGGTGACGTCCTGCCGTACTTTATCCGGGCAGAGGATAACCTTGATCATCGACTGAAACACAGCCGTGAGTATCAGAGGGGATACTGTATCACATTGATGGATAATGTCAAACACAGCTGAGAGTGGGATAATGTATCAGATCGGAGGATAACCTCGATCATCGGCTGAAACATAGCCGTGAGTGTTATTAATTTGGGAGTTCTAGAGTTGGGAAGGAGAAGAGAAACGACAATAGAAATATGCGGGACTTAATGTTGTATAGCCTAGTCCGTTTACTTTCAATTGTGGTGATAAAGTTAAGTAAAAATATTGAAGTGTCTTATCTTTGAACGTCAAAATCAGATTTACACCTAAAGCGGTAGAACGTTTACATCATTTGCTTTACATCTCTCAGTGAGGAATAATGATGCCCTGCAGCTTCCAGTTTAGACTTTAGAGCCTTTGTCATACAAACGCTATAGGACTCCGATCACGCCTCATTTCCTCCAAGTGCGTAGGTATTGGTGTGTATCAGCAAATACAGCAGCAGAGAAACGTTCAGCAATTAGCTCACCAACGTATGCTTTGTTCCACAGCTTACCACGGCGTCGGAGGCCCCATGAAGGTCTCCAGCCCGGAGCGACATCAACTGTCCGGTCTGGCGTCTCTCTGGCTGAAGGCGGCCATCCACAACAAGTTCGAAGTCGGAGATATCAACGGAGACAAACAGACACGTAATTTGCTACCGTGTCATGGTTTTTATGATGTGATGGTGAAAAGACAAGTGTGGTTAGATGAAACAGCGGTAGCAACAGTTTGTAAATTACCCAAAAGCTTGCCAGCATATCCTTTTACAGAGCAGCCTGATCGCCACCTGTATCCACATTTTGTTTCGTGAAGACCTTTTATGTGCTACCCGGTAAGAAGAAAAAGCAAAAATAGTATATTCTGCAAACTACCCAGTGCTGTTTATCTTTCTAGTTGAGGTTTATTTGCCATTGGGTCTACAGTGCAGGGATATTTCTATCTCGCACTCCTCTGAGATGCAGAGATAAGAAATTGTTATCTCTGCATCCCTCTGAGATGCAAAGATAAGGTCTCGAGGGTTCATAGCGAAAAATCAAGAGTTTAACCCGCGCGGGGCTGGGGTCTCCAGCCGAACGCGCGGGGCTGGGGGGGGGGTAAATTTTACCCCCCTGTTATCTCCCGAACTAATGGTCCGATTTGGAAAATTCAAACGCCAATCGAAAGCTCTCATCACGAACTACTAAAAACATGTACTTAATTTTAAGTTTAAGGTCAAGGTCAAGGTCAGGTCAAGGGTACAAATTGCAAGTTTCTACAGTATCGGCCTTGCACCGTAGTTGCCGAAGAATGGAGTCATGGACTGAGACTGATCGCCCAAAACGTGTTCTTAGGCTACCAAGACAATATTCGTTGCATACAATATCATTCAGAGGTCAAGGTCAAGGTCAGGTCAGGTCAGGTCAGGTCACCAAAAAACAAAATACAGAAAAGGGCATATGCGACACATGTTTTATGGGTCATTTTATTCATAGAATTCAATAGGCACACTCAATAAGTGACATGGACCACCTCTGGATGAATTTCAGGTCGAGGTCAGGTCAAGGTCAGGTCAAGTGAGGTCACATTTTGAAGTTGGTTGTTAAGGCCTAAAAGGGTGTCTATCTGATGCAGTTTTTCACGGCGAATCGAATGGTGCTATTTTTGTTTCCGTACGAAGTCTAGAACTTCCAAAAAAGTCATTTTTCAAAAAAATTGTGTGTCGTGACGTCATAAAATTTTGAATAACTCCCACATTTTTGAACCGATTCTTCTAAAATTTGGTATGCAGGTGCACATAGACCACTTCTCTGACATATATTCCGGTTTTTTTCGATAGACTCAAAATTTTGGATTTTATAATGATTTTCCCAAAAAAGTCAGTTTTTTGAAAAAATTTAGGTCAAAATCCAAAATTTTCAAAAAACCGAGATAGCCATTTGATAGACAAAGTAAAATTACGTATAACCTTTTTTGTTACGTCTTGATTCCTTTAAAAATGAAGATGTTAGCGGCGTTTGAACTTTTGCCGTTTTTGAGGCGAAAATGGCGAACATGACGTCACTAAAACGTCAATTTCTCAAAAATATTCCGACTGATTTTGCTCAAATTTTCAGGGAACGTGTCAAATTGATGTAAGAATAGGTACTGAAAGTTTGGCGGCGCTGCGCGCCGCCGTTTTTGAGATATCGCAAAAATTCGCGAGGGGGGGGGGTAAAATTTACCCCCCCAGCCCCGCGCGGGTTAAGTGATGAAGGGTCAATAACCGAACAACATTTGGTTTGGTTGTTTATGGATGAAACTTATGAAATAAGAACAAACTACTCTGAATCTATTTTTACATAGATGAATACATTTAAATATTATATTTTATTAATTAAGAATAAACCTCAACATAGAAAGATATAGGATTCCTCATGGCTCACTCGTGGAAGATAGGATATCTTTTCCTATATATGATATATGAAATGATGATGATGATAGGATATCTTTTCCCGCTTGGAAAAGATATCCTTATCTTCCACTCGGAGCCATGAAGAATCCTCTATATCTTTACGCTCAGTCATGTTAACACTCGAAAATAGTTTCACCAAGGCTCTTTTCCCCTAAGCCCCTTTCACAGCTCCAAAACCTAACACGTGCCCCTGCATCTACCGCCCCCTCCTGCAGGGTTCATGCTGCACCAGACCAACACGGCCTATGGCGAGCGTTGGTCGACCGCTCGCGCCTACCTGGCTCCTGCCTCTCACCGAACCAACCTGGACATCCTCACCGAAGCTCACGTCACTCGTATCATCGTCGACCCCAAGACGCAGCGCGCCAAGGGTGTGATCTTCTACAAGGATAAGAAGCGCCGAGTGGCCTGGGCCAGGAAGGAGGTCATTGTGAGCGCCGGCACGTTCAGTTCGCCGCAGCTGCTGAAGTTGTCGGGGATTGGACCGTGTGGAGAACTGAAGAAACATGGGGTGAGTGGAGAGAGGGGGAAGGGGAGAGGGGAGGGGATGATGAGGTAGAGCAGGGAACAGTAGATGTAAGAGATAGAGTACAGCAATTCGTAACTACGTCAATCAATCATAGGTACTTTTTTAATACTATTTTCTGATCGAGCAATTCATATTTCATATGTATATCATGCGTTGTATTCTAGTTTTACTTTTAACTGGAGATGCAAACAAGTTACTAAATTATTACAACGCTAGATTTATGTCTACAATTATTTACTCTCCAATCATTCACATGACCTTTTCACTGCATCCTTATTCTGATTGCAGATTTATTGTAAGAAGAACCTGCCCGGTGTGGGTGAGAACCTCCAGAGCCACTTTGGTATCGGTGGCATCGACTTTCTGGTGGCGAGGGACGGAATGAAGGGACCGACCAAGGCCCTGAAAAATCCCGTCTACAAGAAGCAGTATATCAACAAGAGAATCGGTTGGTACTGCCTGATTATGAAGCAAATATATTGCATGTCGATGAGTGCCAACAGTTCATAAGGCATTTATTCAGACGTTACTTTTGGCTTTATATTACTTAGGTACCTGAAAAAGGTAAGACGAGGGAAACTAACCTCGCTAGCAAAATAAGCGAGACATATAAAAAACTCCGAATGAAAAAAGAAAATCAAATACATCAGTTTCTACTTGTAAGGCACATCTAATTGTCCATACATTCACGGTAACATTCATCTATATCGTTGTAGCTAAATGAAATTCCTCCCCCCCCCCCCCCCCCAAGAGAAAAGTCCATCAGCTGAACGTTCTTCCAGGTCCGCTCGCCTCTGTGATGGGCCTGGAGGGCACCGGGTTCATCAGCACCTCCTACAACAACATCAGCTACGGCCAGGACTGGCCGGACGTGCAGTTCCTCTTCTTCTCACAGCACACCTCCACCGACGGATACTACGAGGCGCTCATCTATGGACTGTCTTATAAGGTGAATACACAGGGTATAGTGGCTTATTGACTTACTTGGGTGAATATTTGGTGGATGTCGCTTACGACTGACTTTTTATTTATTTCTTTTTTTGTTATGGTGCATGGCTTTGAAAATTTTAGAAGTCATCACAGCCCGTGTCTTCGTCTTCAATAGAACATCCCTGGTCTTAGCTTCGATAAAAACCATACAAAGCTTCACCTGAAGTAGGATCTGAATTTCTGAATACGTAATACGTGAATACGTGAGCTTCAGGAAAAAGGACTGTAGCAATCACTGGGTTTTCCGCCCTATTCACAACATATTTTTAATTCCTTCGCCTTTCAGTTTCATATGGTGTGTCCGTAGCCATTAATTCACCACTCTCTCCCTACAAATTTCCGATGCATGCCTAGGCACGATAGAACTGTTGACCTCAGACTCGCATCCTCTTTTCTCCGACAGCTCTGGCAGACATTCTACCCGAACAAATTCACGCCCGGCTACCGTATTCTCCCGGTCAACCTCCGCCCGCGGAGCCGCGGAAAGGTCGCCCTCCGCTCCCGAAACCCGTGGCAGCACCCGGACATCTTCCTGAATCTCTTCGACGACCCACACGACCTGGCAGTTCTCCGCGAGGCCGGTCAGAAGGCCGAGGCGATCGGTCTTTCTCTACCCTTCATCCGCGCCGGAGCGTCGGCCGTGGGGGAAAAGAACCGGTTCTGTTATCTCCACCCGACCGGAGGGCCCGACTGGTGGGACTGTCGGGCGCGCGTGTTCCCTGAGACGCTCTACCAGGAGACGAGCACGTGCAAGATGGGACCGCCCAGCGACCCCATGGCCGTGGTGGATAACCAGCTCAGGTGAGCGGCCATACGATGGGGAGATGGGAGATGGAATCGTTTGAGCATCAGTGTGCTTGGTTTTGTGAGAGTTTGTGGACGATAGGATAACGCATAAATTGATAAATGCAATGATTCTCTCAGACTTATTAGAAGCATGAAAATAGCCTGTTGCTCACTTCTATTGGAACTCAAAAAGTAAACCAATATTCGGGCGTGGCATTTCCTCAGTGGCACAGTATACAAGGTTCTTTCAAACGTACAAGAACATAGCGGCCTAGAGCACCTAAGGCAAGGTCATCAAAACGAAGAACGAATATCGTTAATCGTTTCAAGCGAATATTGCTCGAAAATAGTTGCCGTATACGTGACCATGCAACCGTAAAACCGAAATTTAGATTACGTAGCAGTCGGTATCTCACATGATACCATTCGTCAATGTAAACCAGTTTCACCCAACAGCGCTTCAAATTCGACCACACACCCCTGCCGCCCCTCTGACCCTGTCCCTTCCCCCGCAGGGTGTACGGCATCAGCGGTCTGCGCGTGGTCGACGCCTCCATCATGCCTACCATCGTCTCCGGTGACGCCAGTGCCGCCACTGTGATGATCGCCGAACGAGCTGCAGACATGATCCGAGCCTTCTGGCACGGAATCAGAATCGGAACCCGAGATCCCGCTGGCTTCGTCGAGGAGACTGTGATGAACCTTAGAGGGGCGGGGAGTGAGACGAGTCCGGCGTTTGGACTGGCTGATTTGATTGGCGATGGGCAGGGAAGCAGCTTTGGGACGTTGGAGGAACAGCTGCTGTCAGCGGGAGATTTGCCGACGTCGAGTTATTTAGACACGACAGATGGAGTGGAGACAACGTATGGAACGACGCAGACCACGGAAGTGGCGACTCCGGCGACTGAAGAAGCGACCACGGCAGAGATGACGGAAGAAGCTGTCACAACTGGAGAGGCCACCACAACGCAGACAACCAGCATGATGCCAGAAACGACAGCAACGACGGTTACAGAGCCAGCAGAGACCGAGACCACGGAGACCACACAGCAGACCACACAGCCGGTCCCAGAGACCACGCAGACCATCCCCGAGACCACGACGGCGGCAGTGACGGAGCCAGTTCAAACCGAGGCACCCACAAAATCCACCAAAATAGGATACACCATCCATATGGGAGGATTGACCAAAATGAGTGGCACGTTCGTGGTAAAACCGACTGCGAGTTCTGCGACCACAGAAGAAAGTAAACCAACCACCGAGAAGGCTTCTTACAGCAAATCGGCATCATATGATGACGAAGACTCAACTACATATATAGACTATGATAAACTCTCGGATGCCGAAATCTTTGGGGAGTTTCCCGATGTGAATGAAGGAAACTATGGCGGTTTCCTTGGACCGATTAATGACTTTAGCGGATATACAGGAGGTTTGACGGTCCCCAAGGAAGAGTTTGAAGCAGTATCAGATCCCGAACTCATTCCACAGGAAGAATATGGCACACCTCTGGGAGATGTTTCGACATCTAGTTTCAAGATAGGCACACCATTTGGAAGCACCGAAGGGTTCGGTTATGATTCCACCGTTGAACTTGGCAAAACGTCAGACTATGAGTCAGATATTAGTCTAGAAGAAGGTTTGGGAGCTTCGGAAGGTCTTGGAGAAACTCCGGCCTTTGGTTCTTCACTGAGTTATGGTGACGCACCTAAGTATGGCTCCTCACTGGGCAGTTCAGAACCGTTTGACTTTGGTTCGTCCCTGAACCTCGGTGAAACAGTAGAGTACAGTCAGCCACTGGAGTTCGAGTACCCTCCAAAGTACGAAACATCACAGAAGCCTGAAACGAGCTCAGCTTCACCAGCAACTGATAAAGATATGAACACTGAAAAGCCCAAAGAAACCGTTCAAGAGGAGTTTGGGATGCCTCGAGAATCAGACATAGTTAGTGATTATGGAGCCCCGCTGGAATCAGAAATCACGAGCGACTATGGAACACCTTTCCAATCGGAAATAATCAGAGACTATGGAGCACCTCTGGATTCTCAAATCGTCACTGATTATGGACCTCCCAAGGATTCAGACACAACGGAGGGCTATGGGGTACCACGACCCTCGGATATATTTGGCGACTACGGACCACCCAAAGAATCAGAGAACCTCGGCAGCTATGGGTCACCTTTCAATACTGATCAATCCATTGGCTTTGCGACTCCGGTGTCATATGAACCTGTACGAGCAAGTGGAAACACTCAGAAGAATGCACCTGCCTCAAATTATCAACAACCTCTTCCGACTGCTAACACGCAAAACTTTAATGGATATAGCGATTATTCAATGCGCTCCGAGGCTGAAGGTGACATTGCTTCTGAAGCTCCCTCCACCGAGGAAGAAACTACAGAGAGACCAGCGGCAGGGGCCGGGCTTCTTCAGGACAACATCAAACGCCTGAAGGAAGAGATGCGAATGCTGCAAGCCTCCACAACGCGGGAAGTTATTGCCACCGAACGACCCAAACCACGATTCGACGCCCGTGGTGGAACCACAGGGGAACCGAGAACGTACTCGTCTGTGTACACTGACGGTTTTGGTGACGGGATGGAAAACACGTTTGGTGGTTACAGGACCCGCCAGATGGACGGCGGAGGGAAGAAGAGGGAGGTGGTGGACGAGTTTGTGGCAGAAGCCAGCGTTGGTCACGCCACTGTCTTCCAGAGGGTGGAAGAGTCGAAAGATGGTTCCAAGTCGGAGGAGGATGCAGGGAGGAAAAGTAAAACCCCAGCAAAGGAAGACGAGAAAGGTGTACTGGTGCGTAGACGCAAGATCATGCAAAATAGGAATGGGACGTCATCGCTTAGAAGTACAGAAGAGCCACCTAAGACCCCACTTCGGATACAACACAATGTGAAGGCAAACACGGAGAGTGAAGTGACTCAGAACAGAGGAAAGGCGACATTCGCTCCGCGCAGAAACGCTGGACGAGCTACACTCCAAGCGAACAAGAGTAACGAGAATTCACGCTCAAGAGCAGTATTTTTCCAAACCAGGACAGCCAAACCAGACCCTACAACAGCTCGGTCAACAATACCACATTCTCGAAGGAATAGCGCAACGAACTCCACAACACGACAAGGTAGGACAAGAACTTGGGACATCGCGATAGTCACCAGGGCTCCCAAAGTGAACACGAACAAGAATGCTCGTCAAGACAGAAGAGTTCCAAATTCCGCGAGAAGCAGACCCAGCTCGCGTCAACAGACTGAGAAAGCAACCGAAGTGTCGAAGCTAACCTCTAAGAAGGAAAGACCGAACGCCTCGATTGCAACATTCGGTTCGAAACGTGTGCACGGAATTCGTTTTGTTGTCAACGATACAGATGCTAAAAATAGACGTCGCACTTCCAACTTGCCAAGAAACTCATCGACTAGCGATAAGGAATCGAGTGCCAGTGCAAAAGACTGGACCAATGCGGATGCTAGTTCAGGCTCATGGGGTGAGCGGAATCAGAAATATTTGTGATAAAACGTGAGTTGAAAATAGTTATGTGGTATTTAGTGAATAAGGCACGGTATATCACATATTGGCTGGAGATGATGAATGCATATACCTTTTTTTACAATGAATTCGGATCTGGTGAAGCCTGGATGGTGATATTGAAGGTACTGTTGTCTCGCTGCTGTATGCTCAATACATTGTTATTTACGTCCTAAGGAGATAAAACTAAGCGGCATGCAGCAATATGTGGTAGACTGGCAACTTCTTGGCTACGTCATTAAATCTTTCTGATAAATGTCAAATGATGTCTCTTAGGGGATGGCAGCTTCGTATTTCTCTCAGGCATTGCTAGTGCGCTCCAAGCACGAAACTTGGGGGTTAAATTCATCAGACGTTCCCAATAGGTACGCGTTGGGTAGTGGGTACATGACTACACACTGTTCTTCAATGTACAGAAATACTGTGACAATGTTAAATGTTATAAATAAATGACGGTTATGGTATTGTGTTTGATGGATAATTACGACGGCATCGTTAGAAAACACAGTCGCGACATGCTACGTGTTACGTGAAGTTCATATTATTACACCATATTTTATGTCACGAGAGGCTAGTAAAATATAAATGGATCGGACTGGAACGACGGAATCACGTGTACCGAAACGTGCGTGCCTGTACTTACCTTATCTCCCCCCTACACCTATCACCGTTAACCCGCGCCCCGCTGGGCTATTCAGCCATACGCGCCCTGCTGGGGGGGGGGGGGGCAGATTCTGCCCCCCCTGTCTAACTTCCGAACCGATGTCGTAGAAAGACGGGGAAAACGGCAATCGAAAGCTCTCAACGAAGCAAATCTTAAGAGCTCAATTTTTTTGCTTAAGTAGGTCAGAGGTCAGGTCAAGGTCAGGTCAAGGGTACAAAATGCAAGTTTCTACAGTATCGGCCTTGCACCGTAATTGCCGAAGAATGGACTGAGACTGATGGCCCAAAACGTGTTCTTAGGCTACCAAGACAATATTCGTTTCATACAATATCATTCAAAGGTCAAGGTCAAGGTCAGGTCAGGTCAGGTCACCAAAAAACAAAATATAGAAAAGGGCATGTGCGACACATGTTTTATGGGTCATTTTATTCATAGAATTCGATAGGCACACTCAATTAGTGATATGGACCACCTCTGGATGAATTTCAGGTCGAGGTCAGGTCAAGTGAGGTCAAATTTTGAAGTTGGTTGTTAAGGCCTAAAAAGGTGTCTATCTGATGTAGTTTTTCACGGCGAGTCGAATGGTGCTATTTTTGTTTCCATACGAGGTCTAGAACTTCAAAAAAATCTTTTTTTTTCAAAAATTTAATGTGTCGTGACGTCATCAAATTTTGAATAACTCCCACATTTTCGAGCCGATTCTTCTCAAAATCGGTATGTAGGTGCACACAGACCACTTCTCTGACATATATTCCGTTTTTTCGATACACTCAAAATTTTGGACTTTATAATGATTTTCCCAAAAAAGTTGGTTTTTTGAAGAAAAAAAATGGGCCAAAAACTAAGATTTTCAAAAAACCGAGATAGCCATTTGATAGACAAAGTAGAATCACGTATAAACTTTTTTGTTACGTCTTGATTCCTTTAAAAATGAAGATGTGAGCGGCGTTTGAAATTTTGCGATTTTTTTAGGCGAAAATGGCGAACATGACGTCACTAAAACCTCATTTTCTAAAAAAAAAATCCGACGGATTTCGCTCAAATTTTCAGGGAATGTGTCAAATTGATGTATGATAAGGTACTGAAAGTTTGACGTCGCTGGCGTAACGCGTTTAGAAGTTATTAGCGAAAAACGGGAGGGGGTGCAGATTCTGCCCCCCACCCAGCGGGGCGCGGGTTAACCCTCGCCCGCACATGCCATTTTCCCATCCTAGAACGCACATGGGGGGGGGGGTGGTTGCCACCCCCCCCCCCCCCCCGCGCCATTTCGTTCCTGTTGGAGATAGAGCTTAGCGGTAAAGACCAAAAAGATTCTTTGGGAAGAGACGAATCCGATGATACCCAGTTTTACCTTCTCAGGTCAGTCATTGACCTTCCAGGTCAGGTCAAACTAAAAAATGTTGCTGTTTTGGGTCACCGTTGGATATCAAGTGCGCTGCTTATCAAATACCGATGACGATGCTGTTTTCAAGTGCCAAGCCAGCTAGAACCTCTTTGTCACACTACCCGACCAGAATTTTGCTGCTGAGGTCATTTCAGGTCAAGTTAGGTCAAGGTCAATTATATGTGTTTGTATGTCTGTGTGTGTCTGTGTGTATACTGATGTGTGCACCGATTGTTTTTGGATCCATATTACATGAAATCATGATCTGAGAAGCTTTTACCAAAAATGCAGTCAAAAAACTTCACAAAAAGTAAATTCAGCTTGCCTAAAACGCAATTATCTTAGATGACCTAGGTTGACCTTGACCCTGACCTTGACCCCTGTACATCGTCGAACAACATGTTCCATGATAGGTGGGAGGTAAGACTGGCAAAAAAGGCCGAAATCAGGGTGTCAAAAGCTCACAAGGCCCATGGCAGGCGCAAGATGTTGAGAATTGGCCATTTGGGTCATGACATGACCTGAAAAACAAGGTCATATCTCCGAAACCAAAAATCACAGAAACTTGAAATTTTCAGTTGACCTCAAGAAAGGATAGAGGAGCAGCTATACGAAAAATCAGCCTTCTAGCTCTAAAAATGTTGAGTGCAGAGCAGAAAGACTACCTGGGGGGGGGGGTGGCAACCACCCCCCCCCCATGTGCGGGCGAGGGTTAACGTAATAATTTTTATTCGAGATTTTGCTCCTGATACCAGTATAACGCCTTTTGGGGCGACTAACGGAGCGAGCGAGAGGGCGAGCCTTGCACGTGCGAAATTTCGAGGGGGTACCTCCAGCTGACTTGTGCACGGCACCCTACTAACCGGTCTCTAGCGATGTGCCAAATTTGAGCACAATCGCAGAGGTGCACAAATAGCCCAGCCTGTCTCCTACACGGTCTCCGATGGCTCCGGTTTGTCTCACCGATCATCCTTAGGTATATCCCAACATATCTATACTTTCAAGTAAAGCTGGTTATTTGCATTACAGTTATTAATATTTACAGGACGTAAACGCTAATCCTGAAGTGTTTTTATTTCTGAGGCTATCCGCAGATATATCGTCATTTTTTTAAGAAGCCGACAGACATACGGTATGCGCTGATTTGGGCAAAGTGCGAGGCAGGACTTGGTACACCTCCACCTGAAATGCATACTGGTGGTGTATAAATAGACTAGAGTGAGGCGGTCTGGTTGTTGACTGTGTCTGGAAACACTGGAAAGTCAAGAACTACCCTCATAAAACCACCGGGACGCTCAATTAATTCCTCTCATCCAATGAGGGTTCAGTTCCACATGGACCAGACGGGCGTCCATCTGCCGTCCCATAGCGTCCCTCTCCCGTTTAGTGGGGCAGTTACTACTTGGCGGGCTGAAGGTGAAGTGACATAACGCTGCAGTGTACGGTGCACATCAGTGTTTCTGTTTAGGAATATGAAACTTTAAGGAGTGTGTAACAAGTTTTTTTCCTGGATCAACATTACTACATTTAGGTAAGAAAACATTATTTGAGGACGATTTTGCAATATTTGCTAATGGGACGAAGCCCATTAAATTGCTATGGAATACCTATCATATTGAGGACCACAAACGTTCAGAAAACGTTTTGACTGTAGGCTTTAAGAAGCGGCTTTAAATCCTTTTATAATCCATCGCTGACTACATCTATACTGCAATCTATGCACATTTCACGTGCATCGCTAATCTCTTCGCTAATACAGATCCTGGTCTATTTTTTCTTGCTTAGCAAACCTCAGCTGTCCTGTAAAATTTTCACGACGCATTCATACATTACAGTTTAGAGGCAGATAAATCCGATATTCTTGTTTTCTGCGTGGCTCTGTGAGGTCGGTCCCTGCCATGGATGATCTGAGACCATCCATGCTGCCGATCGTTCGACGCGCTAGTTTTATTGGGGGTTATATGACCGAAGGACATCGACGGCCGACGGAACTGCCTCGCCTGGCGGGGTCACCAATGTGGAACACGCTGCCGGTTTTTCCGAAGTAAAACTGGAGATTTGCTAGACAAAGTTAGACTAAGTGAATTAATGTACTTAGCCATATGAAAGCAAATGTTTGACATTTTGTCGGCCATTTTGTCGCTGCTGGAGACAACTGCCGGAAAACTAACTGCATTCCCGCAACATCCAATTATACTCATCGATACGTATCAAATGAAGCAGGGCAGATTACCATATTATTTTTCTTAGGATGTCGGAATATAACAACATGTTAAGATACCAAAAAGGTGCAATATCCTTGTTTATAACACAGCCTTTGTTCCGAGTCTGTGCCTTTGGATGGATCTCATGTGCTTAAAATCTTTAGAAAAATGCACTAAGTATCCATTTGAATTATTACTTATGCCAACATGTATGGTAGAAGAATAATCAATTGTAATTTGTTGTCAAGTCTAGATGTGTTTTCTCCACTGTCAATGACTGATTTCTTCTTGCTGAGTAATGTTTTGCAACCTATTAATTTCTATGCCAATGGTGGCTCAAATATTGCTGTTATAGCTATGCAATGTGTAATCTTATATTGTTTAAATAAAGTTAGGCAAATTCAACTGAAATCATGACTGTAATATTTGAAATATGTCATCTGATTGACCTTCATCATACCAACATATAGCCTGGGCAAGGATTATGTCAAAAATGGCAAGGCAAGAGGAAAATAGAACAAGTCAGATTGTATTGCCACTTCTTTAGTCAGAGAATGAGGACAAGTTATAAGCAAAAAGCACAGATCACCTTGAAATCTTGAAATCAATGTCAAAGCCTACTTACCTGACAACTTGTATGGTCTCCCTCTTTTTAAAGTAATGCAATGCATTAGGTAGGTACATTGCTAGGTGTGAAATTTATGGAGAACTTCACAAACCCCATTGCAAATCAGTTTTATAAGCATATGCTTCAAATTGCTATGCTTCCCACACTAACTGAAAGGTTTTTGAGCAAACTCATGAGCAAACTCCATGCCAGCATATCTTGTTATTGAGTAAACATGTTGACTACTTAACTGACCATTCCTTTTTCTATAATCATATTAATTACAATTCTACACAGACCTGTAGACAATTCATGACACATTTTCCACCCACAAAATTATTATATACACAACTGAACACAAAGCCTATGTTTAAAATAATCACATATCTGTTGCATTTTTGCTGTATAGGTACCTGTCTATAAACATGAATAATTTGATGTTGTGAGCCTTGTGCCCAGATGAATGTTTGTGGTATTGGTGTTACAACAAGGAAATTGAAAATTTGTCATGCAGTTTAGGGAAGTTATACCTACCTAGGTAATGTTCAAAATGAAGTGAGATGCCTTCAATTAGTAAATCTCCAGTACATTGAAGAGCCATAT